TCCCTTTCTCCGTCTCACTCGTCTTTTTCTCAACTTTTTCCGTCTCACTCGTCTGTTTCTCAACTTTCTCCCGTCTCTCTCGCCTTTTTCTCTCCCTTTCTCCGTCTCACTCGTCTTTTTCTCAACTTTCTCCGTCTCACTCGCCTTTTTCTCAACTTAACTTGCCTCTAACTCTCTCATCTGTCTGCACTGTAGAGTCGCAATGTTTACCGCCTGGAATGCACAGGCTTGATTGGCTGAGTGGTATCACGTGGGATAGCTTAACTCGCATGCAATTGGTCTGTGCTTTTCCACTACCGCTATCGTAAAGACTGCAAAAGCTGCGCCGGCGAAAATAGAAGCGCCCCGTCAGGTTTTAAATCATATCATAACCTTCTGTTTTGGCTGTAGGTCCAGGTCCGGGTCCGTATGGGACGGCTTCTGGGTCCGGACCCGGACCGCGGTCCGCCTGTTAGTGACCTATGGTCTAGACGAATCAGACACACCATTTTTCATTTGATTTAACAAATCAATTATTCATTAGATTAACAAATAGTCACAGACCCCTCACCCAATAACCTACTGGGTGCCAGGATGTCTGCGAACGACACCAGGCCCCCCCTGGTCCCCATGGCAACCACGACACCTTTGCTAGACCAGATACATTTACGACCTAATGGCATGTTGAGAATTTCCCCTCGCACTACATTTTCCATAGGAAATCCACAGTGCACAGTAAAAATTGACTCTTCTCTGATTAATTAATAGGAAAACGTTTCTTTGAATGAACACACATATCCTTCAGGTCATTGTGTATGTTGTCTTTGAGATTTTATACTGTTTTATGCAGGCTTATGATGGAACCACTCGTTCCTGTCATCTTACCTATATGTAATCCTACCATGTTTAGTATCTATGAATTCGCCTTCTGATGATCTAAACGAGCGTGTATATTATATGTTGGTACATAGGCAATATATTAGTGTCCTGAGAATCTTTAGTAATTTCGATTCAAGTTCCATATGCAAATTACCATGCTTCCACACAAAGGGTCATAAACTCCCCAGTATTTCCAAACTCCCACTTGGGATTCCGGCCTTTCTCATTGGACAAGCCCATCTTGAGAGGCGGGGATCTTCTCCGACCTTAAAGGCCTCACACCAGGGATCCGCCCAGAGTCGGTGGTTCTGTTAGGTTTTGAGAAGATGTGAGCTACAACGCTCCAGGATATCCTAAGTTTTGTGCCAGGCCTTCGGCCTTGATTTTTCCATTCATCAAGATTCTCTGACGCAAACTGGTTCTTTTTCATCAACCAACTTCAGCAAAGATCAACTTGAACCTTCAGATTGCATCAAACCTCTCTTTCAGACAGATGAGACATGCAAGTATCAAACTTAGCCTTATTAATTGATACATGAGGTATCATCGGCACCTTTTTACAAAGGTGTGTTTAAACTAAGAATCTGACGTTTCCCTCAGGTGTAGATCTGCTGAATATGCAAATGGTTCCATAACTTCATTCCTTATTTCTCTCCTCTTTACTGCTTAAGCTTTAACCCTTTCCTATACCAACTGTATGCGTGTGTGTGTGTGTGTGTATGTGTATGTTAGACTAGTTTAAGTGTTTATGTAGTATGTTGGACTAGTTTAAGTGTTTATGTAGTTAATAAAGTTTTGTATCACACTTGACGTTGTTCATTGTTTGCTCATAACTGGAGTCCCTTAATCATGCAGATTTATGCTACAGGCTCTGTGTAGAGTTGTACAGTAAGAAAGTTATTTCCCTTAACCAGGAAATTAACGTTCTTAGAATTGACAGACAGTTGACCCTGAGAGGTCAAGTAAATATCTACAGCGGATCTAAATATTTATAATTAATTATAACTAGTTATGATTAATTATTCATATTTCCCCATGAGCTGATTCGCTACAATTAGCATAGACTTATAGTCTAAATAAAACGATTTGCAACTGTTACTATTATTACACTTGTATACAAAACTTTGTATTATGCTTGTTTTAGAGTGTGTGACGTCACGTGCACTACTGCCGGTGGCAACAGACAACGGTTGATGCAGTTGTTACGGTGACCATCACAGCCCTACTGTGCAATGATGTAGTTTCCTGACATCCAGACTGAACAGCGTTTTCTCGACATGTTTCCATGTTGTTGTTGCTCAGCGATGGCATGGATGCGATGTTGTCTGGGGGTTTGGCAAAAGGAGAATGGGACTGTGGGCAGTGCTTGGGGTGGTGACTGAAGGCGGTGGCTGAGTAGTTCTGATGTCACCTTTTTACGGAAGTCACAGCGGTTCATGAAAAATCACAGCTACTTTATTCAGGCTGTGTGCATTTGACTGTGGATTGACTGTTTTGAAAGTTATATGGTAGTTACATGGCACCTAGACCTCAGTTATCATGAAAAAAGCCAGGAAATTTCAGTTTTGACAATATGGGACCTTTAATTTTTGGATGAACAACTTCTTAAAGTTAATGTAAACGTAAAAATAATCAACTTCCGTTATCTTAATAAATGTTGGCCAGCTGACTTACATTTGTAAGACTTGAACTCTATAAAAACGTGTTGTTTGTTCAAGGTTATTCAGCTTTTATATTAATAATAGTCGAATATAGGCCTACGTTATCTTTGAATGATTCCGGAAAGTAGCCACGGAATGCGTGAGGGAGAAATAGTTTAGTCACTTCATCAGCAAGTTAATATAAAACACCATAATGAACGTCATGCTACTAGTTAAAATGAAAGTAACTGTAAAACCAGCTGTCATCATGAGTCAACCTTTAAATATATTCTGCAAAATAATCATCCAAACGATGACGTGCGTATATCTAGATATGGATATGTCTAATAATAAGCGCCTAACGCATTTTAATCTGCTGTTTTAAAATGAAAGGTTAAAATGTTTCTTTACCATATATTTGTATAAATGGCCAGTGGTGAGAGAAGATACTATTGAGTGGTGAAGACGGAACTGCGTTATCACATCAGAAACCTGCAGATGGCGCTGTTTTAGCAGTTTCTAAGTGCCGCGTGAGAGTCAGAGCAACATAAACACATCCCTTCCGTATTTTCATTTAATAATATTCCACGTTGACAAACACTCCGAGGATGGATTTCACGATCCGGGCCGCCACGCTCGAGGACTGTAAGGACATCTCGCGGATGATACTGGTGAGTGGACGATGTTAGAATCTTATGAAACATTGAAACACAGATCTGCTGTGTCACAGACAGCATGCGTAATCTTTCATTATCTTCCAAACACTGCTGTTTTTTTAAACGTGTAACGCACGTAATTGCATCAGTGTTGTTGATGGCAGAGTTACAGTAAGCCATATTCATTTGGCACACTGTAATCTGACACTTTCCTGTCATTGAGCCTAGTGGACGGCGTTTGGAATGCTGGGAAACGTGCAGCAGCCTTCAGCTTTACTGTGCTTTGAATAGTGGATGCGCAATGCCGTCATAATAATGAAGATGAAAGGATCCGAAAATCAGAGCGTAGCGTGACCGCTAGATTACGCAGGCCATTGTCGCGTCATGAATTAGATGTACGTAATTACTAAAACCTTGTTAGTTATTGGTGAGTGCGACAGTGGAAAGAAATTAAAAATAGTTTGGATTGGTGGTATGGTTCTGTTCTGGGCAAGAACTCCCTGCGCATTCATGCAGCTTAGCATGGATGAGAGCAGGGAGATCAGCAATAACCCCAGCGATGGGACATAACACACACAGTTTCGGCCAATCTCATGTTAATCTTGAGTACCTATAGTGTAGTATTGCATCATTCACATGTCCGAAGAGTCTTCAGTTTTATAAGATTTATAAAGAAAGTTACAACTTACGATTCTCTCTGAAAACAGCCGAGCTCCTGGAGGCAAGCCGTGGGCGGAGCTGAAGAGTCACTTAACGCATGTTGCCAAACCTGAGAGCATTAAAAAGAACTTAGCTTGTGAAGACATTCAAGAGAGTGAAACAAAGCAGCTGTGACTGGGATGCTTGATCTCTTGATATCCTTCTTGGGGATGAAGTTCCCATCTGAACTCAGTTACATAACTCGTGTAGTCCATGTCAGTAATGTAGCAATGCGTGAAGTAATGCTAACTCAGTTACTTCCTAATCAGGCAGCTTATGATCAATGCGGTGAATTCACGTGTTTAAGTTAACAAGCTTGAATGAATCGGAGGTGAGTCCATTGGGGAAATGAATTCCACTCGCTAAATTTCCGATTCTTGCTTATGGTGTTTTGCCTGCCGAATTCGCCATTTAATTAGCTATTGAGCAATGCGAAAACTGCTGATAATATTAATTAGCTATTGAGAAAAGCGAAAACTGCTGATAATACTGAGGGACCTTATATATGAATGCTTAGATAGGTGTCATATTCCTATAGGTAGATAGGAATCAGCTGATGCGAGCTTGACTAACGTGACCTGCCAGAACTAACGCTATGGTTGATTTATGATTTTTTATGAAAGTTTTATTTTACATAATAGCTAGGGTATTCGTTATGTTCGTATATTGCTTATGACGAAA